AAAATCAATTCTACCTCTTATTCCTTAGCAACCTCCTTGCTTTAACATAGCTCTTTGCAATATCTCTGATGTCCTTAGCTACATTTTCCTCCCCAAAGTTACTAGGATAGAAATCAGGAGTAGGGGATCGCAACTAACGGAAAGTTCCTCATGGTAGCGAATCCAAGGGGATCAAATGACAACTTATACAAAAGCGAGCTCCATCTAGTTAAAAATTGAACCCTTGAGAAAAGTTAACTAGTATAGCAGTAAAGTATATACAACTATATTATATCACATTGTTACACAATCCTATACTGCTTTACTACAATATAATTATTTGCCATGTACTACATTCTACTATGCTTATATATGCTCATATACAATATATAGTATATGTCATAGAATATTATAAATATAACACACTGCTATACTATACCATACTGTTATACTATACCACTATACAACACCACATTGCTATACTGTACTACTATATAATACTATAATGCAAGGAAATCTGAATCCTGTGTAACTCATGATCTACATCCTTACAAGGAAGAATCAAGATTCCAATATTTAAGATTCGTAGGGCAGCAAGATACCTTACCCAGAGTGAAGGATTGGGATTTTGGAGAGGAATTGACCCCTTGGTAGGTGGATTCCATTAACTATTTTCCTCCTAATCTCGTCCACTACTTTATCAAGCCATTTAAACAAACTCTTTCTAGTCCACTTTTCTTGAGAGAGATCTACAATACCGTTGAAGAATATCCCTCTCCAACGATACACCAAGCAATTCACAAAATGCTTCCCTGACCTATCCTTCCAACCATTAGACATAATGCTAATTCCAATCTTAGGACACATCTGCTTGTAATTATTGAGGAATAACCACCTCCACATCAAAGCAAGGGTCTGCAAGCTCTCCAGAAGTTGGGCCCTTGAATCCCGACCCTACTTGCCTTATATTGAATATTATTGTCAGATTTCCTTGCATTGCACAAAATTTTAAGAAGGCCAGGGGGAAATGAATTGCACAAACTGTACTTAAAATTTTGTGCAATTCATTTCCCCTCCCACGTGGACTAAAGGTCTTTACCTCATATAGGGGTTTGTGAAGTGACGGGTCAATTTGACTTTTAGTAGGCCTAGCAAGTTGGGGTTGAGAAGGCCAGGAAGTAGTAGAAGGTCAAGACGTAGTAAATGGTCTTCGAATGGTGGACAACTTGAAGTGTTCCGGCCCACACTGCCCCACACCAGGTACTACAGGTTCGAGAGGCAGAGGACGATTACTTGAGGCTCCTGCCTGACTTGCAAACATATAATCTATAAAGGCCTATTGTCTATGCATGTCTTCCACACCAGCCCTCAGTGCCATCCCCATTTGCGCTACAAACTCTGCCTCCTCTTCCTCTCAAGAAGAAGCATAATACTCACTCCCAATCTCCAGAGTCACCATCTGTCTCTGCACCTTCTTTCCCCTTGAAATCATGATAAATCGCTTTGTCTCCTCCCTCACTCGCGGAAGCCTACTTAAATAAGCCTCCTCATCACCTTGAATGTGGGCGAGGTGATGTTTTAGGTGATCAATATTGATCATCACAGGCTTCCCATAAAGTCCTCACTTCATCCACCCCTTACCCTTCTCTGGCAGTTTCATCACATTCTACTATACTGGATCCTCCCTTGTCATTTCCTAAACTGACAAAAGGAAGCACAGAGACACATCCAACCAAGAGTACCACTAAACCAATCAACGTACGATAGATGCATAAAAAATAAAATTAAACAAAATAATATCATCATTGCAATCAATGCTTGAAAAAACTCTTTTATATAAGTTCAAATTTAAACAAGAACTTTTTTTTATGCATCAAAGCTGGAAAAAATTTGATCCATTGAATTTTTGAAAAGAAAATTACCACTTTTAGTTTTAAATAGTCCAAGCACAGTGGATGTATAAACAAACCATTCAAAATATATAATCTATATCATCATATTAAAAACAAAACCATCATTATAAATGCATAAACTTCTGTGTACATGTAAAAAGTTCCTCTATATATGAAATGATTGGAAAATAAATTGTATATTACACTATTGTGACAATTACACAAAAAATGCAAGAATAACTAAAATAATGCTATGTCAAATGATATTATCAAAAACTAAAGTAGTTTTATGAATTTAAACTGAAACAAAAAAAATAATAAAACTTAACCAAAATTTTGAGCCAAACTCCTAATTTGCCTGATCTTTGCTCTCGATGCAAATCAGCACCTCTAATCCTTATCAAAGCTTCCTGAAAAACCCTAATTGAAACCCCCAAAGCAGTTTTGGGCTTCGAGTTTGGATTTAGGAGATCCCAGCTCTTAAAGTTTTGGATGCATGTTGAATATGATAATTAGAATCTCAAAAATCTGAAATGATTGGATTGTGAACCTCGAAATAGGTTCAATGATGAAATTTCACATAAGATTGACAAGAAGTTTTTATGACATAAAGAAATGGTCCAAAAACGATGTGCGCACCTAGGCGGTCTGGGCAGCCAGCGCCTAGGCAGGCGCCAGATTTCTAGGCAGCCTGGGTTGAAGAAGAGGGGCAGCCAAGGGAATACGAGTACGAAATTACGAATTTACAACTATCAGGCTATACCATTTAACACAAATATGATAATATGGAAATAGCACATTAACACATTATAGAGTACTAAAAAATCCCATAATCCAAAGTTGCTAACCATTGTAATAGACTACTAGCACAACCAAAAATAAAATATAAAAATAATACAGACATCATCCATAAACCCTACTCCATAGTCCATACCCCTTAATCCATATACCATTCCATAATCCATAGTTCCATATAAGGATACAGGCATACACATAAGAGTAGAAAATAAGAAAAAGAAAATACACACTCGAAGACTCAAGAGTCAAGACTCTTCAATCATCATCAGAAAAAGTACGGTATGCTTCATCATATGCATCGAAGTCGAGTCCATCATCATTAGAGTCATCTCCCTCTTCAACATAACGCCCGTCCTCGTCCGTTTCTTCTCAATATGCCTCTTCCTCTTCTTCTATCCCCCTCTTGTTCTGTGCAAATGATCAAGCCTAGGAATGTAGGCTGCTCTACAGGATGCCTCTTTACCCTTTCTTGCTTTCTGTGTTTTACAAACTCAAATCTTATTTAATCTAGCCCTTGATATCTTTAGGAACCTTCTTACAACGGGCAAAAAAAAAATGCCCCTAATACTAGCAAGTTGTATCTTGAACCGGTAAATACCTCCATAAGTATCCGGTAAATACCTCCATAAGTATCCTTTCCACAATAAGAACATCTTATACAAGTTTTCCATTCGGATTCGGGTTATAACCATACTTCCAACCCGGATCACCATTTCGAGAAGAACCTAGAGAAGACATTTCCATATAACAAGGCTCCTTTTCTTCTTTTTGGATTTACCAAATTCAAATATTGTATAATCTCATCCCTAATAGCTTCAGGAAACTTTTCACAAAAACCAACGTTCCCTATAATACTAGCAAGGTATTTTTTGAACCGGTTTATAATGCTCCCATTAGTATCTTTTTCACAAAAATTACACCTTATATAATTTTTATCATTTGGATTCGGGTTATAACCATACTTCCAACCTGGAGTACCAATTTTAGAAGAACCAGATGACTTATCCAAATGACAAGGCTCCTTTTATTCCTTTTGGTATTTTACTGAACTCAAATATTGCTTAACCTCCTCCCTGATAGCTTCAGGAACCTTTGTACAAGAGGCAACAACCCCCTTAATACTAGCAAGGTATTTTTTGAACAGGTTTATACCCCCATTAGTATCTTTTACGCAATAATTACATCTTATACAATTTTTGTCATTTGGAAATGAGTTATAACTATAATTCTGAATCAGATCACCACTTCAAGAAGAACCTAAAGAAGATATTAAAATAACAAATACAATCTCAAATATAAAGATTCTTAACTAACCTTTTTCCTAGATTTTCAATCTTTAATGTATGAGATGCTTCCCAACCTCAAATGCTTCCTAAACATGCTCTAATAAGTTTTAAAGAACTACAAAAGCAAATTCAAACCAAAAGGGCGATGTTTGGATCAATTTTTCCAAATTTTGAAATGCCTAATGGATCTTAGAGAAATTCACAAATGTGGTCTTTCCAAGTTTTTCCACTCTGAAAGGTAACAAAAGGGGACTTAGGTCACATAAGAACTTAACTCAACCCCGCCCCCCCCCCAACTACTTTTTTTCTTACCCCTTGTTTAGGGGGAAAAAGGATGAAAACGCCCCTCCACAAGCGGCATTTTTGCCCTTGGGCAGGCAATCTCCCTAGGCACCCGCCAAGGGACCCAGTGCTTAGAAGGGCCACCTAGGCACTAGGGGGCCGCTTTTTGAAACAATTGTCAAGCAAATCAAATAATGATATCTCAAATCTGTGACATTTGATTTCTTTTCCCTGGAATTTGATCCATCTAGTGGATAGATCATGCAAACACGAGTGTATGGATGACAGTTGAGCACAAATTGGGCTCTCTAGAGGATTTGGGGCAAAAAATGGTGAAAGAAAAAGGGGCTTGATTTCTGGCCCCCCTTTTTAGCTGCCAAATGACGGTACTCAGGCAAGTGCTCTACCAAGTCGACGTTGCACTCACAGAGTTTGAAAATACTGATTTAACGTAAAAAAACAAACGCCATTGATAGCCTCAATATAAATCACATACATGAAATAAATAAGGGCAACATGACCCCCTATGATGACTCATACAGATGTGCTGGATTTACACCTTACAGATTTAACAAGGACTGTCAGCCAAAAAACGTGTAAGCATTGGAAAACATCGGGAAATACAAAGCATATATTTGGTAACAAAAGGCTCTTGCATGCATTCAGTGGCATTATGTACTAGAGTTATATGGATCAGTGTCTACAACAATATACTCAGACTCAGTTTGAGAGAAAGGATTGAGTGGTATCAATTCAATATTACCTACGATCGCAAAGAGGTTTGAAGAAAAAACTATGACAGGGTCTCTTGTTATCCCAAAAACTGCTGGTATGGAATCCACCTAGACATATCACAGATTTCTATTGTTAGCCTCTAAGCATTAGAAAGTAAAAAATAAATCACAATAACAGTGTAACAGACAGACAATAAACTTTCACTGAAAATCAACTGGAAAGTACAAAAAACTAAAAAGAAAAACAAGGAGCAAAAAAGACGTACTGCAAATGCAATATCACTGAGCTCAACAACAGCCAGTGTCAAGAGCAATGGAGTTGCCTACCAAAAATGGTTACCCAACATAATAAGCAATCGGTATTAATGAATTCAAGTTCACATTTAAAAAAACCATAACAAGTGTGAGAATATAATTATAAATAGTTCTTATTGAGCAGTCCAACTAAAAGGTATGGGCAAAAAATGCATTAATTAAATGAAATGTCCAATAAACAAGCTATGTGAATTGTAAGCATTTAGGTTAATCGCAAATCATCCCAGTTCTGACTTTCCTAATAGGTTATGACTCATGAGAAAATTGAAACCACATAATACTTACTTTCTTCACACCATCCTGCATTGTTATGAATCTGTTTCCATCGTAACCATCTGTTTAAGAAAAGACCAGAGCAGAACATTAGCCTTATTGAAAGAGTTAGCAACACAATAAACAAAAGTAATCAACATAGCAATACATACCAGACTACTTGTACCATCATACACATTTGCCCCAAAACATCTATGAGCCTAAATGTTTTTCGAAGTTCGTTACACTAAAATGATAAGCCCACAAGCCCTTTTTGATAACATAGCAATATGAAAGATATCGTATAATTATGACTCCATGGACGAGTAACTCTAATTATAAAATGATATAAACGCTACAAAAAAATAGATTCAAAAGAGAAAAGGATCCAAAAACAAACATGAAAAGTTTAACTTCACAATCATAAATATTCCATTTATACAAAAATAAGGATCATAAGAAATAATAAGAAATCTGACATGATTCACAAATGGAATGACATCTCTTATGCCTTAGTGCTTACACAGTATAAAAAGTAGTGTGAAATAATGAACTTGTGCATTTGTTCTCTTCAAAATACAATTAGAAAGACTCATAAGGTGAATTGTCAAGAAGACGTACATCAAAGGTTGGACATTATGTCAATGGGGAAATCACACAAGTGTCCATCAGCATCATTCCGAACAAGTATCAAGAATATATGCCAACAGTTTAGAATCCAATCTCCCTTCCACTTTGCAACACACCCAGCCATTCTTTTTGTTTTATGCTTTTTTGGGGGGCATGGAGAAGCTGGGCATACATACCCAAACATTATATGCATTGAAGCTTAAGGTTGTGTTTCTTCTAATAGAAAATTTGTGGCCTTCAAAGGCATCTACTACAGTATTTTCCTTTTCTTTTCTACTATGAACTCAAACTCTAAACCAATTGAAATTGATTATATTAGATTTGTTTCTATGCCCCCTATCTTTGATATGCATGCATGCTAACATTTATGGATGAGCATTCTTTACTTCCATCGTAATTGTTAAAGAATAACTTGTTTTGTGGATTGGGGCATTTCAGCCATTTTTATATACTTTAGGATACTTATTTTCAATGAGTTAGTGAGACATGGGGTGACTGAATCTCATGTCACTCTCTCCTCTCTTCTCTTTCATCATTTCTCTCTTTCTTTTTCTCTTCTTTTCCCTTTCTCTCTAGTTTTGACAATTTTTACTGTTCAAAGCATTATTCATAACACTGTTCACAGTACTGGTCACATGGCATCCAAGCACTGATCTGCTTGTTGTCTTCTCTCTTCTTTAAAGAAATAGCTATCTTCGTATAAAAAAAAAAAAGATAATTCTGTTAGTGTTGTTTTCATTAAGAAATATTTCAGTGTGTGTGAGGCCAACATGGTGGCCTCTGTGTTCTGTGCATGTACGTACCATTGAAAGGTTCCTCTCTGTGGAAAGCAAGTCACAAGGAACAACTGTAAAATGCTATAAGCTGTGTTGAAGGAGTTGTGAATGACATGTTTTGCAGTTTCATCGTAAGGTATAGTGGAAAGAGCTTTGTTCATCAGCTTTTAAACAGATAAGTGTTCTTTCTACAGTTGATGAGAAGTTATTGTGAGTGCTATCTGCTATTTTGTGCTTGTGGATCGTTGGATTTATAAATTTCCAGTAAGTTTTTAAGGTGTTTTTTAGCGTCTGGTCTGACATATACTTTCATACCTTGCATATTTGAGATTCTTTTACTCCTATGGTCAAGGAAAGTAAACCTGGAATTCCTACTGTCAATGACATAATAGGGATTCCATCAATCTCTGAAAAATTAAATGGGTCCAATTGCCTTTTGTGGGCCCAATCCACAATGGTTTTTCTAGGCACAAGGGGTAAGATGAAATTTTTTACTAAAGATGTCCCAAAAGAGTAGGAAAGTGGGTATGCTGAGTAGCTTAAGGAGAACTATGAGAATATAACATGGTTATGGAATAGTATGGAACCCCATGTGACAGCAGATGTTATGTTCTATGATACTGCTAAGGAAGTATGGGAAGTTGTAAAGGAAATATAGTCCTTTGATAAAAATATTTTTCAAATTTATCAACTTTATGAGAGTTTGTCTTTTACAACAAGGAAATAAAAGCCTTAGTGATTATTATCGTTCTTTTCGAGGTATGAGGGAAGAGTTGAATATTTATCAACCCCTAGCTTTTGATATGGAACTTCTTAAAAAGCAAAGAGAGGGATTCAGAGTTGCAAAGTTCCTATCTGGCCTTAATTCTGAGCATCATGCTGTTTGGGGGTAGATCTTAGCTAGTAGTGGACTTCCCTCTTTTCAATAACGTACACTCTCTTCAACGGTTTATTGTATCTTCTTCAAGCTACTAGCAATGGTGATGGGTATGCTTTAACGTCCTCCATGGGTAGAGGTGATAGCAATGGCTGGGGTGGTGAAAATAGAGGATGTGGTCGGGTTTCAGGGGAAGATCGTGGTAGAGGTTGAGGCAGCACCCATTGTGGACGAACAAATCACATTACTGAAAAATGTAGGGATAAGTTTGGTAAGTCTGCTTGGGATAACCAAGTGGCTTATTTTTCTGAAGGTGATGGTGTGCACCCAGTTAGCTCCAAAGATCAAGACCAGACTCTACATTCTGCCAGTGACTCTTTCCTGCTATCAATAGAAGAATATAATAAGTTAATCATCAAGTAGCTAAGATCCATCTTACTCATCCCTCCTCTTCCACTGCTACTCTAGCGGTACTTCTGCATTCCTTTCATCTGAGAAGGCTTCTTCTTGGGTTATTGATTCAAGAGCCTCTGATCATATGATTAGTAAGTCCTCTATGTTCTCGTCTCTTAGTAAACCAGATAGCACTACTACTGTCACTCTAGCCGATGGTTCTTTATCTAGTGTATTTGGTAAAGGCGTTGTGTGTCCTACTTCTTCATTCTCAATGAGATGTTGTTTGATAGCTTATTTTTTGATGAATTAATATGCCTTCAGCTGTTTTGGAAGGAAAATCACTGCATTCTTTGCCTTTTCCCGATAGACCCTTGTTTACTGTGCTCCCTAAAGTTTTTAGGTGTGTTTGCTTTGTTCAGGTCTTAGGTCCTAGAACAGACAAATCCAATCCCCAAGCTATTAACTGTGTACTTTTAGGGTCTTCTCGTACCAAAAAGGCTATCGATGTTATCATTATGGTTTGAAAAAGAACTTTGTGTGTTCTGATGTTACCTTTTTGAAAATATTCCATACTTTTCTGATGAGGGCAAACTGCAAGAAATAAATTGGACAGTTCACACAAGGGGTGAATTCACAACCCATTACTTCTACCCTTGTTTCCATTCCTATTTCTTTCTCTATTGATAATTCATTACCTCAAGTGTCTCCTTCTGTAGGGTCTGTCTCTCCTCCTTTCACTAGAGTTCCATAGGAGGAACCTCTCAAAATGTGTACGAAGAGGAAATTAAAAGATGGGCCATCACCACCAACTCAAGCAGTCGACCAATCTTCATCTTTGTTTGCAGATCCTCATCCTATTCCTGAACCTACTCATGAACTTTAAAGTATTTACCTTCCAATAGCACTTCGTAAAGGTCAGTGATCTGGTACAAAACAGCATATTCCTCATTTTATTAAATTTGGAAATTTTGCTTTAGCACTTTCTTCTTCCATACCTAAATCCTATTAGTAAGCTCTTTTGCATATTGGATGGAGGAAAACTATGGATGAAGAAATGACTGCGCTCGAGTCAAATGGTACTTGGAAGCTCACTGATTTGCAAGTAGGAAAGAGACCAGTTGGATGTGGAACAGCTTAGGATTGAATCTCCCTCCATGCACCTTTTAATATTTTACTTATTATAACAGATAATGTTGATACATATTACAAAAATAATCTTGTAAGTAATTTAATGAAACCTAATGTCCTAAAGTTTATAAAAAGGGCACAGATACCTCACACTACAGTGAGCACTAATAACCACAAAATAATTAATCTTTAATATCTTTAATAATGGCAAAGAAAGATAAAACTACATATAACAAAACAAACATCTACATGCCTCAAGGCATGTCAACAAAAGAAATGTATCAACAATTTGTCAAGTACTCTACATTACCTAGATATGTAGATATGTGTGTGTATGTGTGTAGTAATCAACAGAGTCAACTTTTAAGGTGGAACGATACACAAAAGAAGAAATATAGAAAAGAGGAAGTTACTCGTGATAGGGATAAATTTCTGGCATGTCTTCACAATCACATTATCTGATAGGTCCGTCTCTTCCTCTTCTCCAGAAAACAGCTGAACTAGTCGGGAAAAATAGAAGATCATTAGGTATGTGTGAAATGAAAGATGAATCATAAAATATGTATTTGCATCATAATCTACTAGCATTCAAACTTACTGAAATATCATTATTTTTTAAGGCATTTTCAAGCACGGACATGAAATATTCCAGAGAAATATTCTATAGAAAAATTTCACATTAATACACAATACAAGAAAAGGAGGAGGATGGCTCAAAGGGAGATAGAGGACAAAGAAAACGTGACAAGGAAACGATTGGATTGGCAATAGATGCAAGGGATAGAGATGATGGAGAAGGTGGTGATGCCTATAATGAGACTATGGACTTTGACAATAAATCTTAATTTGAATTTGATGTCATGTTTCATGGTTTGGAACTTGGGAGTGGACTCACAGGTCTGATGAGACCTGTCTTTGTTTTTGTAGGGAATTATGCTTAGTCCAAAACGCCTCATTTGACCTATGGCCCATACTTAAATTGTTGCATGGCTGATTCTAGAAACATCTCCACACTTGTGGGCTAGAAGCTTATAAATGCCCCTCGAGACTTCATTTCTCACATAAGTTCACTTAACCCTTTCTCTCTCCAAAATGACACGAACTTGTCTCTCTCTCTCTCTCTCTC